TTTGATTCCTGGAAATCCACACGCTTTGATTCCACCAGATCAACAAGTTTGAATCAACTTTAAATGTTAGAGTTTTCCTTCTCCATTGATATTATGCAAGCCAGTCTGTCATACACCTATGGCATTTCGAACTTCTTTATACAGTTTTCATGTAAAGTAACTAAAGCTGATATCAGAATTTCAACACAAAAGTATATGGATAAGGTACCTCAGAAAGCTGAGTTTGATCTTCTTGTTTCTTTATTGACAAAGGATCGTACCTGGACAACATATGAAACAAGGTCTTTAAGTTTGTTTGGGCAGCTAGGTCCATTGTATCATTGATTACCTTTCCCTTACCATTCCCTTGGGATCCCTGCTTCATCTCTAGCCAAATAGTTAAATGGTCCTTTCAACTCCACATCATACTCCTTCAGCAAGTCTGCAACGAAGATTGAATTCATCCGTAAAAAATCTTACTTTCTCTCTCAGAAATAGTGAATGAATACATTTGCTAAAAATATGAATAAGCACTCAATTGGGTCCAAATTTAATAATCAAGGACCAAATTGAATCCAAAAGAAAAACAAAGACCGTATTGAGTAATCGTGTACAGACAAGAGACAAATTTCGGTATTAACTCTAGGGCCAGACTAGAAAGGACCTTTGAAAGCAGATGAAGGTGGGCGATTCATTTTCTGACAAACAGCAAGAAACCAGTATACACCAACTGCCACATGTGCTACTTCTTCAGTCGCTATTCTATCCACAATGTCGGCAGTCCTATGGTCTCCAAAGCCAATCAATTTTTGCACCAGCCGAGGACCAGCATCTAGACCTCTAGCCTCCTATGAAATTAAGAAGATGAAACGATACTAAGATACCTATGGTAGGGCGAGGGAGACAGAAAGATTTCATTGTTCTATGGTGATGGCCATAATATTTGGAAGCTGAAAGATATTTCTATCTTATTGTGCTCGCCATGACTTCACTTTTCTTTAAAAGCTAAAATCTTTTAGCATGAAATCAGATAACGCCAGTCAGGGTACAAGTTTTTCTGTAAACTTGTAAGTTGTAATAAATATAATTACTTGATGAATTGATGAATCGGGTTAAAAAATGGATCAGAGTAAAAAACATTCCCCCCCCCCCCAAAAAAAATAAACATAAGCTTGTTATAGAATTCAGCTCATGCTGCTCCAAACACAAGTTACTTTTTAAAATCAGCTTATAATCTAGATAATAGGTTGTCCCAAATACGCTTTAAAAGGGTTTGCTTAGTTAAATTAGATCACTTATAATTTATAAATGAGTCGAGATTATAAGTATGGAGTATAAATTATTAATTACGAAACAAAAATTGGGCACATGATGATATTGTAAAATTCTCAAAATAGGAGCAAAAACAATGTAAAAATCCAAAAAAATGAGCTTTATGTTTATCCCTCAAGAGGAGTAACTTGAAATTCTACTGCCATACTTTGGCATTATCGGACTTTAAATATGACAATATACTGCCATAATTGGCAGTATTTTGCAAGCATGACAGTAATTACTCCTATTTAGGGAATAAAATCATAGTACTCCTATTTTAGAAATCCAAAACGTTTTTACACATATTTAGGGAAATTTATTTATCCTTAAACATCCAATTCAGTGTCAGTGTGTTCTTATATGCACCTGGACTAGCGGAATAGCTGCCAGGCGTGCAGCAACATCACCAGATGTCTTATCACACTCCCTCCATAGGAGATTGTGAGCGGGCATATCACCATAGCTGATAGTGACAGGAAAAAGGGAAACTACAAATCAAGAATACAAGACTACACTACCCTTACACATTGAAATTTATAGTATGTTTACCTGAACCCTAGCTCAGCCAATCTCTGTGAACACCAAGCAAAATGGCGGCTCTCATCATCTGCCACATGAGCAAAATCAGCAAAGAATCCATCACCTAGAAGCTCGTGATAGGGTGAAAAACGAACAACAGTGTCCCATGCCAAATCAATAGCATTTAGCTCCACATGAGCAAGGTTATGCAGCATATAGGCGTTAAGAGGTAAACCCAATTGTTTGTGAGACGGGATTTGCTTTGGTGAAACCTGAAGTAATAACCAAATATCAATTACTCTGTATAACATAAGTTTTCAAGAAAGACTGGAAGAGAAAAAACCTTTTCTCTTATTTATCAATTTAAGCCACCATTTACATGGAAAATAAGAAAGAAACACAATCTTAAGGGCGTGTTTGGTTCCGCTAATCGGTGCTTACCTTCGCAGGGTGATATGAAGGTAATGCCCAATGACCTTGTTTGAGTTTTAAGATACTCAGAGGAAGATAATGTGAGGTTTACCATGTTTGGTTTGACTTTTCAAATTACCAGGGTAATCTTAGATTACCGTCAAATTGCAAAATCAGGTAATGTTATGATAATCTGATTACCTGTTTCATAGGTATGATAACATTACCTCAGTCAAATAAATGAAGTACTGTTGTATTTGATTTGAAAAGAATTAAATGTTACATTTATATTATCCTAATATAACACATTGGAATTTTGGATCACTTGTGTAATCTCATATCTCCTAACAAAAGAAATCATCAAATCTGAGATTATGTCGGTAATGTTAAGAAGGTAATGATTACCTTTCAGTATGTTTTCAAATATTAAGAAGAGGGTAGTGTGATGTTTACCTTGTTTGGTATAGATTTTCAAATAATTGGGGTAATATTAGATTACTGTCACCGAGGAAAATGAGGTATTGTTCAGGCAATTGGATAACCATGGATTTCTTAGATTTGGTAAGATTATCTTCAGTGGTATACTGGTATACCATTATGTTTAATATGGAGTATGAGCTATCTTTATTTTGATTTCAAAAGCTACTAAGTAAGGAAACTCTAGGACAAGAGGGTCTTCCAGTTTCAGAAACTCTATTGAATCTCTCCGATTCCGAACCATTGCTTTCTGTTCAAAAGTCTCAATATTACTTTTGACTATCCTAACATAACAGATCACATCATTCATATAACCTCATATTATCTGACCAAATATAATTCCATATTCCCTTCTTAAAGATAGCTTATTTCTATCAAGCAAAGGCTCCTAAAGATAACTCTAACACCTTCAATCATTATTAAGTCATAATAAATCTCATAAATGGAAAAGAAAAAGATGATTACTGACCAGTTTGGGCATTGAAGGTCTAGCAGGCTTAGCCGGGGGTTCAAAGACTCCAATGGGCAGTGCATTTTCACGCCACCTGCAATAACCCAAGTGGGAAAGCATTGATTTCTTGAGCGGGTCGGGAGTAGAGAGAACCACGGCGCCAATTTCGGCCAGAGAAGATCCTGAGTCGACCGGGCACGACCCAAAGCTTTCTTCTTCAGAGCTTTCCGGCAACGGTGGTTCAACCGTCGGTCCGTTGGGTCCCCAAAAACGGTCGTGGTTCAGAGTCCCATGTCTCCAGCTCTGCAGACCTGACCACTGGTTGGGTAATTGGGGATAATGAATGGACGTAGAAGAGGAAGAGAGGTGTTTGACGGGATTGAATGTGGAACTGGTGAGTAGCCTACCGGAGATATTGCAGCGGAGCGCTGTGAAGAGCATGCCGCTACGTGGGTTCACTGACAAGTGACAATTGGGCAAGAAGCTCCTTCACAAATCACACAGAAACAAATGAACGAGTAAAATCTGATGATCACGGGTCATGTCTAAAATATTGTCCGGTCAACAAAGCCACACTTTCCTTTTTCCAATATTTCAAAAACATAATCTTCCCTTATTTTGTTATTTGGCAAACAAATCTATTTCAAAACAGTGTCAAATAACGTCTAAATAGTGTCAAAAAGTGTCTAAACAGTATTTTTCCAGTAAAGTCAATTTATTTCCTTAATCCTAGAGAAGTCAAACCGTGACTTTCTTTGCGATACGGAGGGAGTTTTAAAAAGGAGTTGTGGACAAAAAGTGACCTTTATCCAAATTTCAATAAATGAGACTAAAAAACGGTTAGGAGACTATTATACCATGACTAGTGCTACAGTAATGTCATAGTGACCAAAACCTGTCAGTGACAAAAAATCATTAGTGAACAAAAAGACAAAATCGATTAGGGACCAAAAACTTCGCCCAGTGACCAACGTCCACCCATCAAGTGAAAGTTACCTGACACGTCCTATTACGATTATCCGCCCCCTCGTCCAGTTACAGTTACTCTACCCATCCAATTATAGTTATCCGATCCGTTCAGTTACAGTTATTCAACCCGTCTAGTTATAATTACCTGATCCGTCCAATTACAATTACCCAATTCAATCAGTTACGATACCCATCCAATAGTGACCACTGCTACGTCCAGTTACCCCAGCCCCGACCTCACCCAGCCCTGACCTCACCCATCCCTAACCTCACCCAGACCCTCCCTTGCGTCACCCCAGCCCCTACCTCATCGACCCCTGCTCATCATTACCCCAAAAATCCGTGTAACACCGTCCCCAAATATATTTACTTTTATGTAAATAATGTATTGAACCTTATTAAAGGATTAATGAATTTACGAAGTTGTAAATTTTTATTATTTCTTTCGCGTGAATAGTAAATTGCACATGTATAACGGGTGGTATAAGGGAATCTGGGTCATAAAGCTTTCCCTTATTGATTGGTCATGCGTAGATGGTCGTTGTCTCTTGCCAAACAAATTGTATAACAATATAATAACCAAATCATCTCCTATTGAGTCAACCTTAGCCACGTCACACACCTTACTAAATAAATGAGGGAGAAATAACGGGTCCAGAGAACAACCAAATAGTCCAGCTACCCCAATATCGTACACGGCCCAATATAAATACATAATTGCTCTTATGAGGGATTAATAACTACACATGTTGTCATAAAAATGAATCCATTTATTGCTCATTTATTATCCAACTTCCTCCCACGCGTTCATAACTTCATATCCGATCTAATCTCCATATATACCTTGTTGTATATACATCATTCCTCTAACTCTTCAGTACTCGGTCAATTTGTTTAGCCTTTTAATTTTGTTTGTGTTCTTCCAAGAAACGTCGTCGAAGTGTAGACCTGTAGTCCCTTGCCCCCGATAAGGTATTTCGGTAGTTCTTTTATTTTTATGTTACAAATAGTTAAGGTGTGTACAACGTAAATAATTTTTCACATATTTTGTACATTTTGTATATTTAGAGCTCATATAGTTACTTCAAAATTAGCTGAATCGATAGGCTGAGTCGTCTCAATTTGTTTAAATTGATGATGCTTAGACCGATATACAGGGGCCGACCTAGTATTTGCGTTTTGGTGGGGCCAAAATTTAATAATATAAAATATATTGTAAAAAAATGTCAAAATGCAGTATAATAATATTATAAAATGTAATAGAAAAAAGTAAATATTATAGAACCGACAATACAGTTATCTTAAAAGTCATAGATATCGGACCGAATGTTTTATCAGTCTCGCAAATGTTTAGTACCAATCTTTAGGTCAGTTTCTCGGAAACAAGATAAATTGATTTTATTTTAACTCTAAAATCTATACTCTATGTAAAAAAACTAATTTTGACCCACCAAACCCAATGAATTGAACTAATTAATTTTTAGGACCATATTCAAGGAGCCCAATCAATTGAACTAATTGATTTTTCAAAGTAATATACAAAAGTCCAATTACTTGACTAATTAATTTTTTATTCAAAAGCCGAAAATTTAGACTTTGAGAATATTTGATTGTTAGGGTAGTAGAAAGTAGAAACCGATTCATTTGGAGACTGAGATAGTTTGAAAAAAAACTGGAGATTTTAAAATAAAAAATGGGGGAATTTGACTTTGCACCTCATGTTTTAGGCCATATTAGACTTTGCACCCCATATTCAAAATCATTAATATTTGCACCCCATTAGCTCAAAAATGTGAAGGAGTGAGGTGCAAAGTCAAATGATTATATAGTGAAATAGGGTGCAAATATTAATGATTTTGAAAATGGGGTGCAAAATCCAATATTAACCAAAACATGGGGTGCAAAGTCAAATTCTCCCATAAAAAATCCATTACTGCTTTTCCGAGAATCGAACACATGACATCTAGTCTTCACGGGCTAACAACCACCACTACGCCAACATGAAATTTGGTTATGTAGCGACGTTTCTTATTATTATACCAGTTCTTCACAACACATAATATAAATATACTTATACTAGTAATTCTTTAAGGTGGGGCATGGGCCGTAACTGGCCCTATGCCAGATCTTCCCATGCAGATATAGCTTAATATTCTGAATAATGGCAAAAATATTTAAAATATAATTTATTAATATAATTAAGAAAAGATTATATGAAAATAACTAAAACTGCTCTGTAATAATTCAACCCATAGAGTTATGAGAAAAGGAACGTGATAAACAATTGAGAATGAAATTGTCTTTCGTATTATTGTCTTGCTTCTTCGTACAAAGAAAGGGTCAAATATATACACCTTAATACATGTCAGAAAAAGGTAAGGATCTCATGAATTAATCATGGTCCACTAACGCACACACTAATCTAGGAAGGAATATAAATACAATAATTACACAACAAATAAGGTAAATATATTATGCAATATGTCCGTTATGCATGGCTTCTTTCCATATTGTGATGAGGACCGCACACCCCCCCTCAAGTTGGAGCGGAGGGATTAAGAACGCCCAACTTGTGAAGAAGAAACAAGAATTGTTGAGCACCCAGAGGTTTAGTGAAGATGTCGGCTAACTGATGAGAGGAAGAAAGATGATGTGCACGGAGTGAACCGTTTTGAAGAAGATCACGAATAAAATGACAGTCAATTTCAATATGCTTCGTGCGTTCATGAAATACCGGATTTGAGGCAATATGAAGAGCAGCTTTGTTGTCACAGAAAATGTCCATTGGCTGAGAGAGAGTAATGCCAAGAGAAGACAGTAAGCTGCGAAGCCATAATAATTCACAACCCAAGGTGGCCATGGAACGGTACTCAGCCTCGGCGGAGGAACGAGACACGGTTAGTTGCTTCTTTGTTTTCCAGGAGATAGGGGAATCACCAAGCATCACAATATAACCAGTTAATGACTGACGAGTCAAGGGGCAAGCGGCCCAATCGGAGTCACAAAATCCACGCAAAGAGATGCTAGAGCGAGTGCTAAGAAGAATACCCTGTCCCGGATTACCTTTCAAATACCGAAGTACCCGGATAGCTGCATCCCAGTGATCAGTCCTCGGTGTTTGCATAAATTGGGCCAAAATGTGAACTGAGTAACTAAGCTCCGGACGAGTGAGTGTCAAGTAGATAAGTTTCCCGATTAAACGGCGATATTGCTCTGGCGATGATAAAAGTGGACTTTGAGAGAGTGAGAGCTTCTGATTTTGTTCCATAGGAAAAGGAGAAGGTCGTGCGTCCGTCAATCCAAGTTCATCGAGAATATCCAGGGAATATTTGCGCTGACAAAGAAAGATACCGGAATCATTTCGAGCCACTTCTATCCCCAAAAAATATTTAAGACGCCCAAGGTCCTTGATCGGAAAGCATTTAGCCAAATAAGCCTTTAGATGATCAATGTCTAGTGCATGGGAACCAGCAATAAGAAGGTCATCAACATAAACGAGCACACACAAAAAATGACCATTTTTAGATAACGTGAATAAAGAATAATCTGCATATGAACGCTGAAAACCATAGGTAATCAAGGAAGTGCTAAGTTTATTAAACCAACACCGGGGAGCTTGACGAAGTCCATAGAGAGAGCGATGGAGGCGGCAAACTTGGTTGGGACGAGAGCTCAAAAATCCAGGAGGCAAATACATATAAACCTCCTCATCAAGAGAACCATGAAGAAAAGCATTGTCAACATCCATTTGATGGAGTTGCCAATGTTTAGATGCGGCAACGGCAAGAAGAGTACGAACAGTGGTCATTTTGGCAACGGGAGCAAATGTCTCATGATAATCGATTCCCTCAATTTGCCGATTGCCACAAATTACGAGCCGCGCTTTGAACCGTTCAACAGATCCAGAGCTATTATATTTTATGCGGTAAACCCACTTACAATGAATTGGCCGTTTGGGAGTGGGAGTATCAACTAGCGTCCACGTACCATTTCGTTCAAGAGCATCAATCTCAAGTTGCATTGCTTGGCGCCATCGCGGGTCCCGCACTGCTTCTTTATAAGAAGATGGTTCCTTTTCATGAGAAATAGCTGCAAGGAAAGCCCGGTGGTGCAAAGAAAATTTGTCATAATTTACATAACAAGTAAGCGGATAGGGACTACCTGAAGACGGGGAAGGACGGGAGACGCCGGGGGGGTGAGCATGGGCTGCATGAAGTTGCACGTAGTCACGTAAGCGAACAGATGGAGCCTTGCGTCGATGCCCACGACCAAGAGGAGCTGGTGACGTGGGACCTTCTGGTAAGTGGATTTCGGATGTCATATGTAGCAGTGAATTTTCGCTGGGTATGTCCGACTCTTCTGGAGGAGAAAATGGCTGAACATTTGAGGAAGCATGTGGGACCTCCTCTTGATGATGAGCAGGGACAGATGGCACACATGAGTTATGCATGGCAGCATCATTATGGAGTTCATCCTCCCTATACATCAGCCGCAAATCAGAAAGAGATAGGGAAGGATGCACATCACGGGCTGAAGTTGACTTGGCCAGAAAAGGAAAAATATCCTCCACAAAGTGAACATCTCGGGAAATAAAATGAGCCTCGGTTTCCAGGTCCATTACTTTCCACCCACGTTGCGTGTAAGAATAACCCAAAAATAGGCACGCACGACCACGATGATGAAATTTGTCTCTGGATCGGGAAGCAACGTAACACAGACACCCAAACGTACGAATGTGATCATATGAGGGCTGAGTACCATACAACATTTCATAGGGCGATTTTTCATGATTCAAAATAGACGGAGTGCGATTAATTAAATAGGATGCCGCCAAAACACACTCTCCCCAAAATTTGATTGGTAAATTGGCTTGAAAACGAAGAGCTCAGGCAACATTAAGAATATGTCGATGCTTGCGTTCAACCCGACCATTTTGTTGGGGTGTACCAACACACGAAGTTTGAAATAAAATGCCCGCATCTTGAAAATAAGGTCGTAACGGAAAAAATTCTGTACCGTTATCGGCCCTTACAATTTTAACTGTTGTATTAAACTGAGTTCGAACCATAGAGAAAAATCGCATAATAATCTGTGGAACTTCACTTTTCTCGGACATTAAATGCACCCAAACCGCCCGAGAATAATCATCAACAATGGTCAGAAAATAATGTGATCCACATGTACTAGATTCACGATAGGGTCCCCAAACATCACAGTGAATTAACTCAAATTTATTTAAAGCACGATTTAAACTATTAGGGAAAGAGTCTCTCGTTTGTTTGGCTTTCATGCAAACATCACAAGTCTTATTCGTATTATTAAAAGAACTAGAATTCTTGAACGAAATCGGAAGCAAACGAACCACTCTGAGGGACGGATGACCCAATCGTTGATGCCACAAATTAATTTCATCCAAGCTTCCCACATGTGAAGCACGTGCGCTCCCAGTTCCACACAAATAATAGACCCCACCCCGACGTTCACCCACTCCAATCCGCGTCTTCAAAGTGTGGTCCTGTATCACACAAAACCTGTCACTAAATAGCACATGACATGACAATTGTTCAATAAGCTTTCCTACCGAGATAAGATTACACATAAGTTTAGGTACGTAGAGGACATCTTTTAATTTCAATTCCGGTCCCAAAAATACACCACCTATATGTGTGGCCTCGGTTTTCTCCCCATTTGGTAGAATAACTGGAGAGGAAGAAATTTTCTGTAAATTAAATAATAGAGAATAATCCCCAGTCATATGATAGGAAGCTCCTGTATCAAGAAGCCAAGAGTCCATATTTTCTGTACCTGATAGTTTTTCAACCGAGTCACCTGTCTTTTTGGAATTGTTCATAAATGCAAAGAATGATGCCCATTGATCTGCCAGGGAAGCAAAATCCGGTTTGTCATTTTTGATTTCTTCTGCCGGCGCTTCTTCATGCAAAACAGCATGCGCACGTGCTCCCTTTGCACCACCGTTTTTGTCACGCCCAGTCATAGGTCCAGGAGGCTTTCCACGTCCCTTCCCTTCTTTGTTAGCGAACCACCATTCGGGATACTCGCCGGTTAGCTTAAAACAATTATTTCTTTCATGTCCGTCCTTTTTACAAAAGGAGCAAAACATCTTTTCTTTGTTGGGCTTCCTCCGGTCATCAAACCGAACGGCAAAGGCGGCAACCTCGGTTTTGGCGTCATGCATCCTCGTCACATTCTTGTGTCGCTCTTCTTGTATGATCATATGATACACTCGGCTGAGAGATGGCAGTTTGGTTTCGCTAAGAATGTTAGACCGAAGTCCGCCAAACGTAGCACCGTTCAAACCCATCAAGAATTCATGCACCTTTTCTTTCTCCACTGCCTCCAGAAATTGTTTCTCCAAATCACATTTGCATCCTCCACACTTACACTTGGGTATCGTACGATACCCATCAAAGTCATCCCAAAGCATTCTCAGGCGGCCAAAATATTCCGTCACCGTTTGGTCTCCTTGTCGGCATGATTGAATGGCTTCTTTCAGTTCGTGAAAACGTACGCCATCAGCCACCTCGAAGCGGAGTTTGAGATCCTCCCATAGATCATGAGCAGAGTCCATGTAAGCGATGGTCGTTCGTAGAGAGGCATCGATGGACGTCATCAACCATCCAACCAACATGGAGTTCACACACAGCCAGTCGTCCGGCCCGTGTTCATCGGCCGGTATCTCAATCGTCCCGTCAAGAAAAGGAAGCTTCCTCTTCGCTCTAAAGGCATTGCGCATGGCGGTTGACCATTCCCGATAATTCCCGTCCCCTTTAAGTGTTATGCCGCAGATATTCACGCCTGGGATGTCATTGGTCGGTAAATAAAACGGGGATGCCGGATCATTTATTCTGCGCCTATATTGCTTAGGAACAGAATTGTTGCCGTCGTCCATAGTTCCGTCGTTGGTTGTCTTGGTGATAGGCTCACCCATTTGTTTCGTCGCACAGCAAAAGCGCAGGTCTCAGAGAACGTATGGCTCTGATACCATGAGAAAAGGAACGTGATAAACAATTGAGAATGAAATTGTCTTTCGTATTATTGTCTTGCTTCTTCGTACAAAGAAAGGGTCAAATATATACACCTTAATACATGTCAGAAAAAGGTAAGGATCTCATGAATTAATCATGGTCCACTAACGCACACACTAATCTAGGAAGGAATATAAATACAATAATTACACAACAAATAAGGTAAATATATTATGCAATATGTCCGTTATGCATGGCTTCTTTCCATATTGTGATGAGGACCGCACAAGTTACTTAAAGCTTATTTATTTTAATTATTACACAATTCAGCACGAAAAATAAAATTTTATGTATTTGATAAAAAGGTTGGCTTATTAAGGGTGTTACCATATAGGGTTTAATTGGACATTTTATTTTATACGAATACTATAACTATTTAAGTATTATTTGTTATTTGGGATATTAATTTTTTAATTACATTGACTAGGTGATATGTAAAACATGGCAGAGGGCCGTGAGTGGATGTACAAACGCCATAGTCAGGTTTCCGGTATTATAAATCATGAGTTTGTAGAAGGTTTAAAAGGTTTCTTAGATTATGCTTTTACCATATGTGAGAGCATGGGGGAAAATATGGTGAAATGTCCGTGTACAAAATGTAAGCTAAGAAAGTATCACAATAGAGATACTATTGAAACACATTTGTGTAACAATGAATTTAAAGAAAATTATTATATATGGGATTGTCATGGTGAAGAAAGGCCAATAAATCCAGCTATATATCGAGGGTATACCCCAAGTGATATGGAGACTTATGAAAATATATCTGTTGATGGTAATTATAAAGAACACAATCACATGTTGGGATGCACTCAAATGGTTAGGGAGGTGATGTATCCGTTCTCCAATAATGTTGAAAATGAAACGAGTGACTTCAATATGTTTGATTGTCATGATGAAGAAAATGACGACAATGGGGTTGAGGGTAATGGAGCGGTGTATGAAATCCCAAATGATAACGCAAAAGAGTTCTATAACTTATTAGAAGATGCATCTGCTCCTTTGTATGTTGGTTGCACTGAACATAGCAGGTTATCAGTTGTGGCAGAGCTCTTAAGTGTTAAGAGTCAGTATAATATGTCTGACGCATGTTATGACAAAGTAGCTTCACTAATGGAACGGATAGTTCCAGGTGATAACAAATTGCCAAAGAGCTTATATCAGGCAAAGAAGATGGTGAATGGATTAGGGCTGCCATATTACAAAATCGATGCATGTGAGAATAATTGCATGCTTTTTGATGGTGATGATATACATTTGGTGTACTGTAAAACTTGTGGTTCATGTAGGTACTATGAAGATACGATTGACCGTGGAGGAAAAAAGAAAGCGATTGCTAAAAAAACCTTGCGGTATTTGCCAATAACAGAGCGTTTGAAGAGGATGTACATGCCCTCAAAAACATCTGAGTTTATGACTTGGCATACCAAAGGCACTTCCTCCACTCGTAGTACTATTTCACACCCATGTCATTCTGATGCATGGAAACACATTGATAACACATTCCCTGATTTTGCTATTGAGTTTAGAAATGTGCGTCTGGGTTTATGCACAGATGCATTTAATCCGAATTCTGATTTTAGTAATCCATACTCAATTTGGCCTGTATTTATCGCTGTGTACAACTTACCCCCTGAGCTTTGCATGAAAGAGCCATATATATTTATGGCTATGTTGATACTCGGTCCTAAATCCCCTGGAAGGAACATCGATGTTTTTTTAAGACCGCTTATTGATGAGTTAAACATGTTGTGGAGTGTTGGAGTTGAAACGTGGGATGCTTTTCGGAAACAAAATTTCATATTGCGGGCATGCCTTCTTTGGACAATTAGTGACTTTCCGGCATATGGCATGTTATCAGGTTGGAGCACACATGGTCGATTAGCATGTCCTTATTGTTTGGGGGATGGAGTTGGTCACCAACTTAAGTTTGGGAGGAAGCCATGTTGGTGGGGCTGTCACTTGAGGTTCCTAGGACTTGATCATGTATTTCGTCGTGATGCACAGTCATGGGGAGCTTCTGGAACTGAGCGTAGGAGACCATGTCCGATAATTTCCGGTGTTGAAATTTTGAGGAGTATGGAGAACATCATATTTCCACCTTTTGGGTCTCAATATGATAATGTGCGTGCTGATGGTTTTGGTAGAACTCACAATTGGATCAAAAGGTCTATATTTTGGGAACTGCCATATTGGAAACATTTACTTGTACGACATAACCTTGACGTAATGCATATTGAGAAGAATTGTTTTGATAATGTCTTCAACACGGTTATGGATGTCAAGGGGAAAACTAAAGACAATTCCAATTCGAGACGTGATATGGAGCACATGAACATAAGAAATGAGCTGCATTTGTATGATCGTAACATGGCCACATATCAACCAAAAGCGAGTTATGTGTTAGATAAACCAAACATCATCAATATTTGTCATTGGTTGAAGCATGAAGTCAGACTCCCTGATGGGTATTCTTTTAACATTGGCCATTGTGTGAACACAACTACTAATACTTTTTATAGCATGAAGAGTCATGATTGTCATGTGTTCATGCAACGTCTACTTCCGATTGCATTGCGCGGTTATCTAAGGTCACCGATTTGGATTGCACTTTCAGAGTTCTGCAAATTTTTTAGACTTATATGCGCAAGAGAGCTTTGTATTGCAGATATCGAGAAAGTGCAAGATGCTATTGCTATTACACTATGTAAATTAGAGAAGATTTTTCCTCCTAGTTTTTTTTATTCCATGGAGCATTTGACAATTCACTTGCCATGGGAATTAAAAATTTGTGGTCCTGTGCAATATCGTTGGATGTACCCATTTGAACGTCTGATGAAAAAGCTCAAAGAAAAAGCAAAGAACAAACAATTTCTTGAAGGGTCGATTGTTGAAAAGTTTTGGGTTCAGGAAGTTGCTCTATTTTGTGAGCATTACTTTGATGATAACTCAGGTTCCCGTATCAACCCTCGTGTTAGAAATGAAGTTCAGCCTGATATATTGAGTATGGGGTAGACATCTAATGATGCAGCGAAGTTGTCTATTTTCAAGCATCGTGTTCAAAACTTTAGTCGGGAGAAAAATTGTACATTAACAAACGAAGAGCTACACCATGTCCATAGCTATATTTTGTTCAACTGTCCTGAAGTGCAATCGTACATCAAGTAAGTGTATAATTGAAATACAAATTTACAATTTAAAATATATGAAACTGACAATGTTTGTTTGCAGTCACTTTGAGTCTCTACTACGACAGTCTTCCCCAATGTTGAATGATTATGATGTTGCTAAAGAGAGGATGACACACTTCGCCGCCTGGTTTGAGTCAATGGTATACCAACATAGATATGCAATTTATGTAAATTGAAATGGATTATTTTTATTTTCTCTATTAATAACTAATATCGCGCAGGCTCAACAGTCCCCTCAAAATTTCACCCCACAACTAATTGAGTTATCACAATGGCCAAAGAAGAAGGCCCGATCATATGGTGGGTCGTATGTTAACGGGTTCAAATTCCATACTAGAAAGTATGGCAACGGTAAACGCTCATCTAACTGGGGCGTTTGCGTGCTTGGAGAAACTTCAGGGGATGGTCGTTATGATTTTTACGGAATTATTGATGATATTATTGAGGTTCGTTACAAACAAAATGAGGTCACAATATTCAGAGGAACATGGTTCGATCCAACCAATGGAGTACGCATTGATAAACATTCAGGAGTAGTTGACGTTCGTCATACATTTCGATTGCACCTAGAGGATCCATTTATTCTTGCTAGTCAAGCACAACAGGTTTACTATGTTAATTATCCAGCCGCGTCGTTAAGTGATTGGCTTGCAGTAATTAAAACAAAACCGAGACATATGATCGAAGGAAACAGTGACACATGTGACGAACCAGAGAACGTAATTGATCTCGATGCCGATCAAGAAGATTTCGGTGTAGAAGATGCACATGTCTTTCATGACCCCGGCCTAGAAGGTCGTGACCTTCTTCTAAACTCATGGATTGCTCCAGAAATTGTTATTGATGGTGACGAGGAAGACTCAGAAGATTCAGAAGAAGACATTCCGAATTATATATAACCCTGTTTTAGTGGTTTTGAATTTTTAGTATCATTTTTAGGAAGACTCACAAACACATACTTCGTATGTGTTTGTGAGACCCAATTTAATAAATGTTGTAATAATTTAATATTTGTTCAACCTATGATTTAATCTATTGCAAGATTTTAGAGGTTTCAGTATAATAGCCATAAACACTAATACTAAAAGCAAATATAAAAATAATTACTAAAATTTGTACTAGTAATTGAAGAGGTTTTTTTGCCCGATATTTATTATGAATATGTCGTTATTTAATTTTAAATCCAGAAAATGTAATTTTATATCAACAAGATTCGTGCAGGTTCAAAATGTTAGAGGCCAAATTTTTTGAAAGAACGTTACAGGCAAAATCATTCCGCCTTTACATTTCCTTTAGGCGCCAATTGAAAATATTTCAGCGCCTTGAAACAAAAAAAGAAATAATAGAGCGGCTCATCCAAATGAAAAACCTAGATAGAGCACATTTGAAGACCACCCATTTCTCAATCTTCGACAGTCTTCTATATATCTGGTTCGCCCCTTTCATCTTCCTCACTGGCAAAGCTAAACAGATAAGGTCTCGTGGACGAACACACCAAAACTCGGCAACTCAGGTTCTCTTTGGTTTTCTTTCAATTACAGCACTTTGTATTACCAATTTCTAGGGTTTTCATTTATGAGATATATAAATGTCACTTTGCACTTGACTATTGTTGAGGTTTATTCCTTCAACCCCCGGGTCCAACACGTAAGCCCAAGGATTTCGAATGGAGTGTGTATGATTAGATTAGCCCAACAAGCAGATGATATGGATTAAAAAGGCAGGAAAGTAGCAAGTAAATGATTAGGTATTATTATCTCTTAATAACTCCCTAATACAATACTTTTCGCTAAGGCTCCGTCGGCCGTTCGTCCTACAAGGCAGTAGAAGTGCTGCGAGTAAGAGTGCTATAGCTAGAGTGCTAAGAATAGAAAGTTGCCAACCCTTTACAATGAAATAAATGCTTCTATTTATACCCGCCAATGGGCAGGTGGCTATGCTGACGTGGATGCCTGTGGACCGCTTGTGTCCCAACCACCAAATCTTCTGCATTAAATGCACTTCCCGCCAGAATCTTGGTTTCCCGCCTAAATAATGGGGACGTTCGTCCGCTTGGGAGCGAGCTGGGTCGCTCCAAGTGATCCTCAAGAGGTTTCGGCTGTTCGTCCCCTGGCCTTGTGGATTCTCTCCATGTGGACTGGATTTCCTCCGATGATCATGGGCCTGCTTAGGAGACGTTCGTCGCCATCCCTGATGGCCCGTGGTCCTGCTCCTTACCTCTGCACAGACGTTCGTCGCGATGGGCCATTTGAACCTGAACCCCCCAATTCCAGACGTCCGTCTCTTCCCAAGGGTCATGGGCCTGCGTCCAGCCTGGTCCTAGCATGACGTACGTCCGATAGAAAAGGGGTTAATGGGCCGGACCTCGGCCTGGGCCATTATCCCAACACAAGTCCCCCACTTCTGATGTTCTGAGCATGCGCAGGACATAAGGAAGTATAGGTGCCCTGAAGTAGATGTTCGTGTCTTGATACTTGTGTTTTATTGCATCTGGTGGAAGCGTACGCCCGTGGTCATGGTGCTTAACAGCTGTCGACGGTTCAGGGAACGAGGTGACGGCTGCTGTAGCGGCGGTGCATTTTCCTAGGAAATGTCATCATTACGCTTTCGCCCCACGCGCAGCGCGTGAGCCGGAATACGCTCTTTGCCACGTGTCCGCCCCTCGTTGGTCCCCCCATCGGTGTCCCTCCTATAAATGCCGGGTTTTCCCTCTGGATTAGGGTTCCCAATTTCTGCTCTTCTGCTTCCGCATTTCCGCTGCTCCTCAAGTTTCCTCCCGCTTCCAAGTTCGGCCAATCCCTCTTTAAGGTAATTTTCACCCTCTGCTTCTTTCTCTTGTCTTGAATTCTCGCCGGGATGGTTTCGATGGAAATCTCGTCAAGTTCTGGTTCGGGCTCATCGGGTTCTTCCTCAGGCTCCTCTTCCGACTCCGGTTCACGCTCTTCGGGCGAAACTAGCACTTCCGGTAGTTCTGGCTCGGCTCCTACCATGGGAATTGTTCAGCCTGGGGGAGCCGGAGGTGGTGTTGTTGCAATGGTCCCTGGTGAGGAGGGTGCTGATTCGGGGGACCACGTGAATACGGTCCTCGATGTGGTGGACCCTGTAGATGATGTCGGGGAACGGGACTCCGCTAGTGAGGACGGCCGTCCGGACGGGTATGACTCCGGGGTCGAGGCCCAGGATGGTTCCGACATCGAGGTATTTGAACGTGGGCTAAAGATAGATGTGGAGAGGCATCTATGCCCGATCAAGAACGTCCTCTGCCACGAGCAGATCTTCTCGCAGGTGGCCCTCAACAAACTGAAGGTGTTCTTCCCCCCTCCGTTCGTATACAGCCTCCGTGGCGCAACCAACGTGATGAGGAGACGCCCAGGGATGGTTATGGTGCTTCTGGACTCCATCGAGGCTGGGCTGCGCTTCCCTCTTCATCCGTTCTTCGTGGAATTCTTCTGTTGTTACCAGATAGCCCCCGCACAACTCATGCCGAATTCCTATCGGTGGCTCTCCACCTTCCTAGTCCGTTGCAAGGACAATTGGGTCACCGCCACTTTGGACATGTTTCATTACTTCTACCGGCTCACCCCCCAGAATTCCGATGGGTTCCTGAGCATTGCAGCCCGTCCGAAACGGAGGTTGTTCAGCGGGGCACCGAGCTCCATCCATGATTGGAAGAATCGGTTCTTCTTTGTGCGGTACGCGGATGCTCGTCTGCCATCGCGGTGGAACGGCTACCCGCCCAAGATAGGGTCCCCGGAGCTGACCGACGATCTGGCGGAAGACATCAGGAAGATTTCGACGGGCGGCATCCGGCCCTTAGATGACTTCCTAACTTTCGAGGCACTTGCCGCGGCAGGAATAGGTACCGCCCATACTCTCGGGCATCTTTCCTCCTACGCTCGTCTCGGGGTACTGGGCGGTCCTGACCTCCGAGGTGAGTCCTTCCTGACGCTCGTCCATCTAACCCATTTCCCTTGTTTTTCCTTTCAGGTCTCCCCCCAACGCAAGAACAAATGAATCACGAGAAGCTCCTCAAGACGAGGAAAGGCAAAGGCGCTGCCGCCGATGCTGCCCTTGCCAAAGCCAAGGCCGCCCAAATAGCAGACTCTAACTCCTCCGCCTCCCAGGCCGATCGTCGCACAGTGGAGGCGGAGCAGCACCTCATTGCCACGGTAATGGCATAGGGGTCCCAGGCCCCAGTCCTCAGTTCTGGCGTTCCCGAAGTTGTGGCGCCTCTACAGGCCGTTCATCCGCATGAAGGGGAGAAGGCGAAGGACAAGAAGCCCAAAAGGCCTCGGGGGGCTTCCTCTTCGGCCCCCAAAGAGCAAGAGTTGGTCCTTCCCTCCCTCGGGCGTCCGGCCCATGATGTCTGGCAGGAGATCGCCTCTCTGGTCGGCGTGGAGATGCCTCCCCGGGCGTCTTCGGAGGCCTCTAATGCGGCTCTGGCCGGGCGTCTTTGGTCCCGTTTAATATGGTAATCAGTCTAGAGGGGGGGGGGTGAATAGACTGATTGGTTTTTCAACTTTTCTCTAAGTCCAAAATGACTTATCAGAGAAGGTCTGATTCTGGTGACAGAGAGAGGCTGGTTCTGATATCAGAACTGGCCTTGGCAGCGGATTCTGATCTGTTCGGGTAGCCTCAGAAACACTAAGGCAAATGCCTTTCTGATAACTCTGAAAACAAGATCTGCTGAACACAGATTCCAAGTCTTAGAGTTAAGCAGTTAATATCCTAAGTGCAGAAATATAAATTGCAGTAAAGTAAATGACACCGGATATTTTTATAGTGGTTCAAGGAACAACTCGTTCCTCTAGTCCACTGTTCCACTAGCTTTGAAGTAGATCGGTTACAAAGCTTAGTTCCTAGCACTTAAGAAGTTCTCCACGCCTTCTTCAAGCCTAGCTGCCACCCAGGATGCAGTTCCACGTCCTGATGGCTGATCCTTTCACTCAGCTTCCCGGAAGTATCACCACTTCACTACTGCAGTTACTTGGACGCCCTTCTTTTCAGAAGATCCTTTGAAAAACAAAGTTTTTCCTCCAACTTGCTTCGTCACAAATGATGTTTGATGAAGTTCTTGAAGAGTTGAAGAACAGGATGAACTTTGCTCGTTTGTTGGGGATGAGAGATTTGGAGTTTGAATCTTCCCAACGTAAGCTTGTCTTGTTGAAGGTTGTAGAATTTGAATCTCAAGAGAGCTTGAAATATGATGAGCAAAAGTTGTAGCAAAGTCGTTTTTCTGTTCTTCGGTGTAGCTTATATACTGAGGTTGTCTGCCCGTTGGAGGAGGAGACAACTGCATTAAATGCGCGTACAGTTGACTTGACCGCCGTTTTGGAAGGTTTCTATTTTTATAATATATCTTCCCGGATTCTTTGGTCAATCATTTGCAATCAATCCTTCAGCGTATCAGGCTCATTTAATGTGCATTAAATGCTTTCCTTTCATGCACAGTCTTCTAGCCGTTGGATGTTTTTACCCGTTGGATTCAGAGCTGTTGGATGTTGCTTGAAGTCTTCTAAGTGTTAGTCGGGCTCTGATCAGGCTCTTCTGATGTGTTGGATTCTGATGGCTATCTGATGAGTTGAGTTCTGATGGTCTTCTGATCTCTGATGGAGCTCTAACTCTGACTCTGATAGGTCCGCTGATGAGTACCTCTGATCTGTAATTCTCATCGGCTTATCAGATGTAAAAGTTTATCAGCAACTCTTATAGTGCAACTCTGATGGACTTCTGCTAAGAGAACTCTGATGGAGCAGTTCTCATAGAGCAAGTCTGGTCGAGCAATTCTGATGCACTTCTGATCTGATCCAAAGTAGAGCAACTCTGATCGTCGACTACACTAATACTTACATTTGAAAATTCTAATACATAAAATCTAATTTGGGGGTATTCTAACTTTCTAATCCTATAGCATCATCAAAATCTA